GGTTTTCACAGGGAAGTTGACGAGAGAGAGAGAGAGAGAGAGAGAGAGAGAGAGAGAGAGAGAGAGAGAGAGAGAGAGAGAGAGAGAGAGAGAGAGAGAGCGAGAGAGAGAGAGCGAGCTGCAAACAGCAACGTCTACAAGCCTGCTGGAACCTACAAAAGGATTATAAGGAAGGAACACAGGAACTTTGAGAGCCTGCTCATATGAGCCATTGAAGTAAGAGATTCTGCTCTGACAACTAAGCTGAACTTGGACCTGTTACGATTGTGCACAGCACAACAGAAAGTTATGGATTTTTTTTCTGTGAAGAACCCAGAGAGGGTTATTTGACTGCTTTCTGGAAAACAAAAATATTTTTACATTTAGGCACTCCTGCAATCGTCACACTTTTTCTGTTACAAACTGACTCTGGCCCCCCACCAGAGAAGGGAAAATTTATGTGGCCCTTACAGGAAAAAGTCTGGGGACCCCTGGGATAAATAATCAAATAAGCTTCCCTCATCTTCACTAAATAATAAAAGATCGGCACCAGAACCATTTATTCTCCTATTTCTTATAATCTAGTTCAGTCCAATCATTTCTTTTTAAGAACAAGAAGGTTAATGCTCAGATGAGGCACAAAGATAAAAGTAGTTTTGAGGCTTTCAAAGCTACAGATAATGTAAAGAAGAAGAATGAAGCTGAGAGCTCCAGCGTGTCTCCAGCTGTCACAACCTGATAAAAACATCCTGAGACAAGAAGAGGGGCTCTCACAGGAAGAGTCAGAAACTAAACTCAGCCCAGATTCACAAAGCCCGCTGTCAATCCAAAACAAGTCAGTTCCTGTCCTCCAGACTGTCTGATGGAGACTCTGACTTCAGTTTAGTCAATATTTATTGTTGTCTGATGCAAGCTGTCAGATTCTTTCTGATTCTCCTTCTTACTTCAGGTTAGACCTGTAGATAAGAACTAATAAAAGAGAAAGTGTTTGATGCCTTCAGAGGTTGTTACTTTCCAGAGGGAAGTCCTTCTTTACACTGTGGAAAGATGTCATTCTACATCTTCACCACTAGGTGTCACTTATTGAACTCTACTGAGCCAACCTGTCTCATATCACATACTGTATGTTCTCATTACCTATATGATACAAAATATATTTCACGTAGAATAAACTGCTAACCTCACAATATTGTTAGTAAAATATTTTATTCTAAGACTTGGTTATTCTGCAGGTGTGCTTGTCTCAGAACACAGAGTTCTGTGATTTTAGTGCAACTTTTTATCAGTTTGTGTTTTTGTTTGTCTATTTCTGTAGTTCTTAAAGTTTCAGTTCTTTCATATCAGGTCAGTTCCTTTGTGAGATGATCCTGTTTTCTCTCGGTGCCACCCTCAAACTAAGTGAGGGAGACTCAGTCAGTTTCCCAGTGGTCCCTCGCCTGTCTCTGACCTGTAATCAGCCTCCTGCACAGGTGCCGTCATTCTCACTCCTCCCTCAGTGGACGAGTGAGAAAAGAATGATTGGATTAGGATCAAATCCAATTTATGATTAGTCCAAGTAAAGCTGTCATAAATTTACAGATTTATTCAACAAAAAATGTATTAAAGAGAAAATTGTTTATAAAATGTATTTAAATGTAGAGGAGTGAGCTACAGGTTGACTTTAGTGAAATGTTTCAGTCAAAAACGTTATTTGATGCAGAATAAACAGAAAGTACGAATAATTATAATAAATTAATCTGATGAATAAACTCTGAAACTCACTTCATCCATTCATTAATTGACTTGGGGTAATTTTTCTTCAAAATGATGTGTCTGTGAACAAACTCTGTGAATGACAGCATATACAACATTGCTCTGTTTGTCCCACAAACAGAGCAATGTTGTATATGCTGTAAAGTGCCAGGAGGACTGGGATCAGTTATACATCGGGGAAACAAAGCAGCCACTGTTCAAAAGAATGTCCCAACACAGACGAGCTACATCTAATGGCCAGAACTCTGCAGTTTTCACTCATTTACAGGCCAGCGGTCACTCTTTCAGAGATGAGGATGTTCTCATTCTTGATAGAGAGGAACGTTGGTTTGAGAGAGGAGTAAAAGAAGCCATTTTTGTGAAGAAAGACCGTCCATCATTAAACAGAGGTGGAGGCCTCCGTTTTCAGCTGTCCCCCTGCTACAGCGCGGCTGTTGTCAGTATCACTCCACCCCCTGTTAACAATAAGTGTTAATTAGGTGTCAACGATAGCCATGTGATGTGAGTATCAGTCACACGGAGGCAGTGCTTAAAAGCCTGAATTTTGCCTGAAACTCGCAGACTGAAGAAGTCTCTTGGAGGAGAGACGAAATGTTTCATTAGAGAAGAACCCGTCCAGAGGACCTATACAATTTTTTTCTTTTTTTATTAGAAATATGTTTGTATTTGAGTCAAGAGAAAATAAGGTGTAAAGGACCAAATAATTAGTAGTACCCAGTTTTGCAGATGTGCATTAGAAACTGTAAAATGGTCAATAATTACCATCTTTTTTTCCATCAGTTGCAGAAATGGGCTGGTATTTTTAAAAGTATAAAAATTAACATGTCTTATGTAAAAAAACAGTATGACTGCCTTTAGGGAGTTGAAGCACATAGAAAATTGTCTCCATCTTCAGTTGGATTGCAGAAGCAACAGGTCCAGAAGAGCTCCTCCTGGTAAGACCCCAATGTGTTCCCACACCAGAGAGGATTATATAATCCCTCCTGGGAGTTCTGGGTCTGCCTGAAACACCAGGAAGCTCTGATCAGATGAACCTCCTCAACTGACTCTTTTGAACATAAACAGTAGCAGCTCCACTCCGACTTCCTCTCTCGATCTGAGCCCAGCTGGAATACGAAGGAAGATCCTTTTAGTCTCTTGGAAATATCTTTCAAACATAGGATATTTTCCAGCTCTTCAACCAGTGACTTCATATTACTGAACCATAAACATACTTATCAAGTAACTAACATAAATGTGGAACAGAAAGTAACCAGACATTATTGTGAAATGTCACAAATAAAACTTTGTATCTACATCCAGGTATTTTGAGATTATCTTAGATGGGTGAAACTAAATCAGAGGTTTGGGTTTTGTTGAAGATAAAAAAAAAGCATAATTTTGTAGTGATGGTATTCTGTCAGTGTCAAAACTAAATATTATAAAAATTCTTTAGTGAAAATTTTTTTTCAGTTAGTTTTAAAATAAAAATCCATGTCTGATTAAAAGAGTTTTATTTTTCAAACAAGTTCTTTATCAATGGATGAAACCCACAAGAGTCAAACTAATAAAAACATGTCCATCTGCTTGAAAAACCACCAGTTCTGAACACGTGTCCCGTCCCCGTCCCCCTGCTGGACAAAACCAGACTCTTCACACAGTCCAAGAGCTGCCTTCAGTTTCCAGGTCTTTCTTCTTTTCTCAGACTAATCCTGAGCAGTCAGAGCGGTCTGCTAGACTCAGCTGACTGCTCACCTTCGTCTCGGTTCTGACTGGAACAGACTGGTGCAGCGTCTTCTCTGGACAAGAGGTTGTTTTTGCGGAGGTGACAGGCCTCCTGGTAGGGAGGGTGTATGGGTGGCTGCGTTGGAGGAGTGTACTGGTACTGTTTACCATCGTCAAGCTGGAGGAAAATAAAAAAAAACAGAGTGAAGAAAAGAGACATCAGAAAAATAAATCAGCAATCATCTGACTGAATGTTACAGACTTGGAACACTAAAGAAAACATTCTTCTCTTTAACAAATCAAATCAAGACTTGATTTAAAACAATTTAGAAGAAAGAAAAGAAATTAATGATAGACACATTTCAAAGTGTCCTGTTAAAGTGATTTACAGACACTTAGAAGTGGGCTCCTGTAGATGACAGAGCTGCCATTAACAGCTCCTCAAATGACTTCAGGAATTCAAAGAGCAGGAGCACTGGTTTAGATTAGAGATTCTTAACCTATGGGCCGCGGCCCACAGCGCCACCTTGAGGGCCTCAAAAGAACAACAGTTTTTAACTTTGGGCTGCAGAGGGCTGCGGGACCACATTGATTTTGAATAAGTTGCAATACATTTTCTCACCACTAGTAGCAGTAGTGCACCACTCAGTTGTTTAACAACCTTTTTTAATATGTAGAAGAAGAACCTTAGAAACCTGCAGAGAATGGAAACTTATTTTAAATTAAAAGTGGAAGCAAAAATGAAGGTAACTCATCAAAAAAGGCCAAAGTTTGTCACTAATATGAAGTGCAGCTTCTGTTTTTACCATGCAGTATTTTAAAAGTTCAAAACATTATCAAATACAGTTGCAGATACAGTTATATTTTAATTTGCACTTTAAATTTTGTAGTTTATTTTTAAACATTTTGACAAAAAGCTGTTGTTCCTGTTATTGTTTGTCACTAATATGAAGAGCAGCTTCTGTTTTTACCATGCAATATTTTAAAAGTTCAAAACATTATCAAATACAGTTGCAGATACAGTTATATTTTAATTTGCACTTTAAATTTTGTATTTTATTTTTAAACATTTTGAATGTATTTTAAAGAAATTTTACTGTTATTGTTTGTCACTAATATGAAGAGCAGCTTCTGTTTTTACCATGCAATATTTTAAAAGTTCAAAACATTATCAAATACAGTTGCAGATACAGCTATATTTTAGTTTGCACTTTAAATTTTGTATTTTATTTTTAAACATTTTGAATGTATTTTAAAGAAATTTTACTGTTATTGTTTGTCACTAATATGAAGAGCAGCTTCTGTTTTTACCATGAAATATTTTAAAAGTTCAAAACATTATCAAATACAGTTGCAGATACAGCTATATTTTAGTTTGCACTTTAAATTAATTGTTGTAGTTTAATTAGAAAAATTTTGAATGTATTTTAAAGAAATTTTACTGTTATTGTTTGTCACTAATATGAAGAGCAGCTTCTGTTTTTACCATGAAATATTTTAAAAGTTCAAAACATTATCAAATACAGTTGCAGATACAGCTATATTTTAGTTTGCACTTTAAATTAATTGTTGTAGTTTAATTAGAAAAATTTTGAATGTATTTTAAAGAAATTTTACTGTTATTGTT